ACCTGACACCCACTTAAGTTCAAGCACGGTAAAATGAATAAATCCACATTTTAGTTGTCTTCGCTGCCATCTTCACTGTAAGGGAGCTGGGGATGGACAATTGAGTCAGATTCAACTGTTCTCTGTTTGGGAGGGGAGACAAACCTTGTGGGGATCTGCACTCTACCGACTGCCCTTTTCTAGTTTGATTCTGTTTTATTGAATTGCATTGAGGGGCCACCATACAGACATTACAAATTAAAATAATTAGAGAAGAATTAGAAACAACAATAAGTTTGTCCGTTCCAGGGATCAGACAAACAATAAATCAATATATCATAGTTTTTCTGCAGTATACCCACAAAGAGTGTTGGAAATGAATTTGCGGAGGTTTGAACTCGTGGAGCCCGTTGGAGGTCATACACAGCCTGGGAGGAAGCTCTGCCTGAGTGGACATCTTGAAAAAAACACAATGATATAGATATCCATGCATTTGTAGGTTCAATTTAATTTGACCTGGATTCATATCGCTGGTTCTTAGAGGGAGTACTATTGGAGAAAAATGGGAAATGATTTGTCAATGTGAGGTATGTTTTCTTTTCTTTTTCCGATCAAGCTGTTTTTGAGGCAGCGGTTTGAGTTTTCTCCAGTTTCTTCTGATTTGTAAGATCTCAGATTCCTGGAGGGACGAACATGTAAACATCAAACTGTATGTAGCAGTTTGTTTCAGCATCTCTGCTGCCGCTGGCCACTGCTCTGCTTACTGTGTGTGTGTGTGTGTGTGTGTGTGTGTGTGTGTGTGTATGTGTGCGTGTGTCTTTGACCACTGTCATTACCAGCTACTGGCCTCAGGGTGAGAATCAGCCACTCTAAGACATCTCTCTCTGTCTTTTCACATCTCCATTAGTTTCTTTGTCCTGTCGTTGGCGTACCCTCAGGTTACTCTGTGTGTCTGTGTATGTCGTACGCTCTCTTTCAGGGAACAGGGACATACATTTGTGTCCTCTCTTTATCTTTTACACCCAGCAGGGTTCAGAGCTTTGGACAAATCAGACGAGCCCCTCGTTTGTTCACTTGCTGACATTAAAAACAAGAAAAGATAAGGTAGCTGATGGTGTAAACCTTGTATTTCCATGTCTAGTGATTTCCAACAGTGTCAGATGAGTTGAAAGTCTAACACAACTCTTCTTCAAACCTGAACAATGACTCATAACAGGTTTCATACCACTCTGAACAATAACAGTGCAGTTTAGTTCCTGTAAAGCTGACACACATTTCGGACATAAAAGGTTTTCACTCAGCAACAGTCAAGTATTAATTGTGAGTGGAGCTGCCATAGTGTTAAATAGAATTTTCAGATTTTTCTACAAGTGAAATAGATTTTTCTTGTTGATGAGATATTTTTTTCTATGCTTTTGAGGTTAAACAAATAAAAGAATCAGTTACCAAAAGTATAAAATATAATTACATTTTAGTTTTTCCTAATGCATACAACAGCCTTTCACAACTATTAGAGTTCATCATTTGGTTAAATATGCTTGTTTTCCATTTCTAGCCAAGAAAAGATGATTAGGAAATGGATTCCATAATTATATATCCGCTAAATACAAAGGTTCAGGGGACGGTTAGCTCATCTTAGCATACCACTGGAAATAGGGAAACGCCTAGACATGATATTGTCTGAAGAATGTTAAAGGCAGATTGTTTTCTTGAGTTAAAGAGGACTCATATGCATAAAAGACTGTGTCATCCGCATAAAAATGGATACCATACATCTGTGTTTGAGTGATAATATTATTTATTTAGAGTGTAAAAAGTAAAGGAACCAGCACAGAACCATGTGGTACTCCCTTATTTATCTCAAGGGAGGTTGTTTTGAGAACAACCTCTGATCTGTACAAATCGCATGTGTTCTATCAAACAAATATGTATGACACCAGTTCTGAGCAAAAACATCCAAAACAATACTGCGTATAAATAAAATGCAGGGGTCAAAAAATGTCCCCAGGAAGATCTTTCTTGTCCAGGGAATGTCTGACAGCGTTATATTTCATTATGTATTGATATTAAAGACTTGGACTGAAACTCAGTCAAGTGTTTCTTTGCGCTCCATTGAGTCTCTTTGAAGTCGGAAGAAGAAGTAGAAGAAATTCAGGTTGTTGTGAAGCACTGACGCTGAAGAAAATATTTCTGCTTTTCCTCACATTGTTGCTTGACTGCTGTGTGTGTGTGTGTGTGTTTGTGTGTGTGTGTGTGTGTGTGTGTGTGTGTGTGTGTGTGTGTGTGT